TACCTAATCAAACGTGACCGTTGTGTTGAAATATTTTTAATTTTTCTTCCTTTGGTAAGTGGTGAGTGATGATTACGAATACTAGAATAATAAGACCAATATCGGCTTCTGAAAACGTCTCGTAATGAGTCACGGAAAAAATTTAAAGATTTGAAATGCATATAATATAGATGTAGTTTAAATTTAATTAGAATATTAGAAAGTTTCGGTAGGTACTCGTCCAATATGCTATCTACCGCACGTTCGATGGTTTAGTATGCTATCTACCTTTACTTGGCTTATGGAATAAAATGTTTGGCACCCTTTTTTTGTACATCGATTATATTATTGTTTTCAAAATATTACCTTCAGAATTACGTTTTCGACTATTTTTCAGAACTTTTTTTAACTCGCCACCACAAATCGTTTGGTTTTTAATTTTTGTACATGTTTGGTCGATTGGTAATAAACCGCTTATGCTTAAAAAATGTTCGCACATCTCTTCATTTTGAATAATGTGGCGATATAAATAACTCATAGTTGACAAACTCATAATAATAATTATTAAATAATAATAAATAAATCACAGTAAAACCACGTATAGGTATAATCGACACGACTCACAAACACACACTAAACAGGTATAATATAAAGATATACCTACTAACCTACCTAACTTACTAAGTTATAAATATAATATAATTTGGGGTTTCAATAAAAGCTTAATCTTAAATCTTAATAATTGCATAATGATAAAATATACATAATTATATACAGCATACGGTCATATGATTATACTAAACTATCATAAAATTACGGTAGATAAAATATTTACGGTGTATTGGACGAGTACCAAAGTTTCTTTTAAGTAGGAGTGAAATATTTCAAATGTCAATGATCGTACAGTAGGTGTCGAGTGTATCCCGTCAATGAGTAGGTCACTGTAAAGGATATATTAAATTTGAATTCAATGATATAAATTTAAAGGTATTTGATAGAAACGATTCTGAGCGGAGACAGCAAAACTTTTTGGTCCAGCCTAACCAGGGTTATTAAACAATTATTTCAATAATTTCAACTAATGTTCATATTTTATTTCCTGATCTACTTCCAAAGTACAATTTTAGACCCAATTTGCTACTAGAAGCCTCCCCCGGAGTTGATGTTCGAAAACTTTTTCCGCTGGGAAACGTGTTTAGATGTTCAGACACAAAAATAAAAGAAAAAAACACATCAATATAAAACCAATAGGAATTAGGCAATAGGTCACAGGTAGCCAATAAGAACATCTGTTTAATTAAATAATTATATTATTTTAATTTATTTCACATAAACATTACTACATTTGTATAAGACTTCATAAAACATGACCAAAAGGCTACACACATTTTATTTTTATATTATTAGAAAAAAGTGAAAAACTTCATAAACGTGTTAGAAAAAAAATACATAAATATGTGCTGTAAATGATGCTTTTACATTATGAATAATAATTGTAGTTATTAACTAAGGTCAATAATGATATTGATTGCTACCGAATATTATAATATAATGTTCATAATAATTTTTCTTTTTTACAATTTAGCATCACATTTACAATTGTGTAACAAACACGCATAGTCTGTAATAAAATAAAAAATATAATTTGTATTAAATCTACATCAAATAATATTCTGTTATTATTTATAGTGTACAAAAAAGTCATATAAACATAGTAATGTAATTCTGGTTTGCACTGAGGTAGAGCAGTATAACTAAAAAATCCAAATTTTTAGGAAAGTAGGTACTTTGTGAGGTTTTTAATTTTATAAAAATTGTTTTTTTGTAAATAATTAATAGACATCCATTGATTGCTGTTTTGACTTTTGGAACTTTTTCTAAGTATTGTGTTTATGTTTTCCAATATTACCATTTTTGAGGAGTTACTACTGTTTTTTCCCTTTCGTAAATAGGTATAACAAATATAGTAAAATACATTACTGTAACAGCAATCTAATACATAATATTATATAAATAATAAAATATACTTAGCCATATAGGCTGAAATACATTCTCCGTTTAGAATAAATTTTCGTATGGAATGATTTTACACTAGGAAAATATAGTTAAAGTACTCTGTAAAATCATGTGATATCGCAAATGTGTTGTTTATTGAATTAGACCAAAGTTTTACTTATTGTGTAAAATATTTGGATAATGTATTATGCCTACTGGGTTAATAACTAGATTTATTGAACTAAAATAACAGAAACATATTCATCATAAACTACAAAATATACCTTTAACACACAACACTCATAATTTTGAATATTACTAACTCTTTTTGGAATTTTCTTTTGCGAAATAAGTTAAATTGTTATAAAATTTGGAATTTTTGTGGTATGATACTAGAAATCTATAAAGATATCAGAACTCATTTCCCAAAAGAAAATCCCAAATGAAATTAATACTTTTCTAAACAACGAGTTTTGTGTATTAAATGAATAATTTATTTAACCCTGTATATTTTTATTTTTGGAGCTTTTGTACATACTAAATAGTTTAGTTTTTGCTTTATAATTATTTCCTTGCTTTTCTATGCTTATTAGATTGAAAACTTGGTTAGTATCCACTTTATCCATAAAAAAATTACATAAGATACTAATAGTAATATAATTAATCACTTTGCAAATCTAAACACAGAATCGATTTTATTCTTGTTGAAAGTGAAGCTTGACGAACTAATGATTTTAGCATTAATATAATAAGTAATAACACGACCATATGATTATGTATAAGTATAATATATGTATAATAAAGTACAACTGGACAATTAAACTGTGACTGTACACACACACCGCGTACACTCGGTAAGACAGCGTCTGTGCAAGTGATTATTACATACATCAAAAGCCCTATTTATATGAACAATCAAGGCCATCCCGTATCCGTATATAATATAGAAAGCGATACTAAAGGTGTTGCACAGATATATCGTAACTGCATAAGTATCTTGTTATGGATTTTACACACAACACAAAATAAAACGTACGCACCTCAATTGAAGATTAAAATAATTTATGGATTTTTATTAAAATTGGTAGTAAAATATAGCTTTAAACTGCTAATCGAACACTGCAGGTAATTCTACGACTGACTGACGCCCTGTGTGTGGTCGTGACGGTACCCCGTCTCACATAAGAAACCCTTATTCAGCATTTCCCACGCTAGAAGCGTCGTACGACACACACTCTGCATTATGATTGTAAATTGTAATGAAATACTTATATATAATATGTTATTAATATATATAGATATATAAAAATAAAATATGTACTATTCAGGGGTTCTTAACAATCTATTAGAAAACGACATTGTACACGCACGTGTGTTTACATGGTTTGAATACTAATATTAATTGTATATTTCAACAATTCTTTAATAGGTACACTAAATAACATAAATTTGCTTTATGACTGCACAATCAAAAAATGCTATTTTTTTTTTTTTGTATTTTAATGTTTATTACCTAATTTACTAATAATTTAAATATGTGCACTAATATTTTAATTCTCTGACTGTTAATTATACTTTTTTTTACATAAAAGCCGACATTTTGAACATCTCACACCCCGAGTTAATCCGGGTAAACTACCTAGTAATTATAGTGGGTTTGACGTTTGTATATAATTATATATAATCTATGGAATTCGCACCCCCTAAAAAAGGGTCTAGGGACTCCACTGTCTCAAGGAAGTGTACTAGTAGGTACTAAATCTTATTCAATATAATATATTGTACTAATGATCAGCCGATTGGAAATCAAATGAAATACTATATCTACGCCGATGATTTCACTGTTACAACTCAGAACGAATCATTCGAGGAGGTTGAAGAGACCGGAACGTCACACTTAATGATCCAACAAATAGACTAATCACGGGTTTCTTCAGAGTTCAGACCGACCCCTATTCGTAAATCAAAACAAGAAATGGGCATGAAAAATCATAATTTAGATAATTTTACAGGGAGCCCACTTAAGTCGAGAAAAATCTGAAATTAAGTATTAAAATGGGTTATTCTAAACATAAAATTTGCTAAGTGATGCGTATGTTAATTATAATAATTAATAATTTATAACTATAATATTCGATGACCGAGTTTATACAAATAGTTATGGAGATACCCCTATATGTATACATATATTATGGAATTCGTGGCCTTGAATATAATGCAGTAATTTAACTTCATAATATATTAACTATTTTTCTTCTTAGTGAATGTACTTACTGCATAATTGTTTATTAAATATTAATTTAACAATATCTTTGGAGATTACTAAATAAAATTGATTTTTATTTTACCTATAGAGGTATTACTTTTTACCATATAATATTATGACCAAGGTAAAAAAAAATCAAGAATTGTTCAATTAATCAATCTATAAGGGAACTTAATGTTTTGAAATATCAGAAATCCTAACATTGTAAATTTAAAATATTAGGGACAACAATATTTCCACTACCAACTTAAAACCTCAAAATATATTCCTTTGATTATGATCATTACATTTTTATAATTATGAAGGTAATGATATGAAACATACTTGATAAAATATTTCCATGTTAATAATTCTTGTCCTTGTAAATTGTAATTTATTCTGGTGGGCATTAGCCATTCTCATTGTTAACAAAATCAATTTTTTTAATTTAATATCCATTTCTGTCCAATTAGAGCTATACAACCCGAATATTATAGAATCTTTCTAAAAAAACAAAACATATAAGAAGAAATTAACTAATTAATTAATTTACAAACTTTTTGATGCAACCTAAATAAATAGAAAAAAAGTGAGTAATTGGATAACGCACTATACAGGGGCATGGTTAAATGCTAACTATTGTATTTCTTATTTCTAAATCAGGCAATTTGGTATTTATTTTTGTGCTGTAAATGATACTTTTACATTATGAATAATAATTGTAGTTATTAACTAAGATCAATAATGATATTGATTGCTACCGAATATTATAATATAATGTTCATAATAATTTTTCTTTTTTACAATTTAGCATCACATTTACAATTGTGTAACAAACACGCATAGTCTGTAATAAAATAAAAAATATAATTTGTATTAAATCTACATCAAATAATATTCTGTTACTTTTTATAGTGTACAAAAAAGTCATATAAACATAATAATGTAATTCTGGTTTGCACTGAGGTAGAGCAGTATAACTAAAAAATCCAAATTTTTAGGAAAGTACTATGTGAGGTTTTTTAATTTTATAATAATTGTTTTTTATAAATCATTAATAGACATCCATTGATTGCTGTTTTGACTTTTGGAACTTTTTCTATGTATTGTGTTTATGTTTTCCAATATTACCATTTTTGAGGAGTTACTACTGTTTTTTCCCTTCGGAAATATGTATAACAAATAATAGTAAAATACATTACTGTAACAGCAATCTAATACATAATATTATATAAATAATAAAATATACTTAGCCATATAGGCTGAAATACATTCTCCGTTTAGAATAAATTTTCGTATGGAATGATTTTACACTAGGAAAATATAGTTAAAGTACTCTGTAAAATCATTTGATATCGCAAATGTGTTGTTTATTGAATTAGACCAAAGTTTTACTTATTGTGTAAGATATTTGGATAATGTATTATGCCTACTGGGTTAATAACTAGATTTATTGAACTAAAATAACAGAAACATATTCATCATAAACTACAAAATATACCTTTAACACACAACACTCATAATTTTGAATATTACTAACTCTTTTTGGAATTTTCTTTTGCGAAATAAGTTAAATTGTTATAAAATTTGTAATTTTTGTGGTATGATACTAGAAATCTATAAAGATATCAGAACTCATTTCCCAAAAGAAAATCCCAAATGAAATTAATACTTTTCTAAACAACGAGTTTTGTGTGTTAAATTAATAATTTATTTAACCCTGTATATTTTTATTTTTGAAGCTTTTGTACATACTAAATAGTTTAGTTTTTGCTTTATAATTATTTCCTTGCTTTTCTATGCTTATTAGATTGAAAATTGAAAACTTGGTTAGTATCCACTATATCCATAAAAAAATTACATAAGATACTAATAGTAATATAATTAATCACTTTGCAAATCTAAACACAGAATCGATTTTATTCTTGTTGAAAGTGAAGCTTGACGAACTAATGATTTTAGCATTAATATAATAAGTAATAACACGACAATATGATTATGTATAATAGTATAATATATGTATAATAACATACAACTGGACAATTAAACTGTGACTGTACACACACACCGCGTAAACTCGGTAAGACAGCGTCTGTGCAAGTGATTATTACATACATCAAAAGCCCTATTTATATGAACAATCAAGGCGATCCCGTATCCGTATATAATATAGAAAGCGATACTAAAGGTGTGTACCCAGTGCGTATGATAAAAGTAAAAACAAAAGAAATTAAAAAAAATATAAAGAAACTGCTCATAACGATGTATGTATACATATTTAAAAACATGCGTTTAATCCACGCTAAATAATAATAAAATAACATTCAGCCACGCGTAGGGAATTTTAAACCATTTATTATTTTAAATGTATATTAGACGCCATATGGCGTCAAACGCGTTGCTGAATGATACTTATGACGCCAATTGGCGTCAGTACGCAGTGAACGTGATATAATATTATGACCAAAGTAAAAAAAGATCAAGGATTGTTCAATTAATCAATCTATAAGGGAATTTAATGTTTAGAAATATCAGAAATCCTAACATTATAAATTTAAAATATTAGGGACAACAATATTTCCACTACCAACTTAAAACCTCGATATATTATATTCGTTTGATTATGATCATTATATTTTTATAATTATGAAGGTAATGATATGAAACATACTTGATAAAATATTTCCATGTTAATTATTCTTGTCCTTGTAAATTGTAATTTATTCTGGTGGGCATTAGCCATTCTCATTGCTAACAAAATCAATTTTTGAAATTTAATATCCATTTCTGTCCAATTAGAGCTATACAACCCAAATGTTATAAGATCCTTCTAAAAAAACAAAACATATAAAAAGAAATTAACTATTTAATTAATTTACAAAATTTTTAATGCAACCTAAATATATATATAAAAAAAAATGAGTAAGTGGATAACCCAGTATACAGGGACGTGGTTAAATGCTAACTATTGTATTTCTTATTTTTGAATCAGGCAATTTGGTATTTTTTTTTTTTAAGTTGTTTTTTTGCTAAATGTAATAAAACTTTTGATTATGAATAATCTTGTATTAAATTTTTAAATGTTACACATACATGGAACAATTTTTGTAAATTTCTAGATCAAAATATTTTGTCATAATTCTAACTTTAGACGCTAATAATAAATTATTGTGGATGTACGCGTTAAACCTTTATTTTAATTTCCGCTAATAACAGGTTATGGTTTATTGTAATACCTTTTTATATTGTTATTAACAGGAAAAAAAAATTTCAAATGTCTAGAATTAACACAAAAAGAGTGAAAATATTTTGAAAATTAAACTCTCATAAGAAAAAATTTTAAAATGGTAATCTTTTACTGAAAGTACCAACTAGATACACTTTGTTACCACTAAAAAGGTTTATTAAAGTTGATGATTGAAGTATTTTTACTGGTCCATATAACAAAAATAAAAATACCTACTATATACACATTTTTGATACTACCTACTTTTAAATTTTGTTTTATATTTCTTGGAAATTAAATAATATTTATAGGTACCTAGGAACTATTTAAAATGAACATTGTATTTTATTGCATAACTCCTCTGTAATTTATGTACCTATACTTATGCAATAAATGCTTTAATAAGGTAAATAAATTTGAAATTACTTTAGTTTCTAATGTATCAAATACAAAACATGACATATACATTTGAAAAGTAGAAAAAGGAATTGAAAAACCAGATTTCACCAATGTCAATACCATATATTGCGTAATATCTTCTTCATAAACACTGAAAACATTAAGTACATTAAATTTATGAAATCACTTATCGTGAGATATATATACATATTTAAATATATAAATAGCATGTGAAAACTACCAAGCTATCTATAAACCAATAAAATATTATTGAAAAAATATAATTATATTTATCTAAATAAATAAATGTTATAGTGTTCCATTATGTTTGTATATACCGCCATAAAAATGAACCATACAAAAATGATCGTATACGACAAAACAAATACTTGCAGTAACAATGTTGGTCGAAATATTGATAAAAATTCATCATATTTCCTATGTAAAAAGAGACAAATTATTATAAAAAACACATATTATACAACAAGACATCATTGCTTGATTTTGGAAATAACTAATACATTTTTTTTTTTTGATAATATTATTTTTTCAAGTACTTATAATATGTTTATATTATTTCGAACACGGACAAATCGCCGTCGCCGTTTCGCCGTCGCCACTTTGCCATTTGTTGACGTATACGAATAATTTTTTTTCTTAATGCACAGGTTGACGTTAGCGTACCCTTAAAAAATATTATAATTATTTAGCTATGATAAACCTCATACACAGTACACACTAACTCTGCAGCACATCTAAACCTTCAGATATCGGAACATGATAAACTATTTAGGACCCATATTACAATAGTCGATTACACTTCGATTATGTATATAACTATTATAATGCCGTATTAGACGTACTTAGACGTCGATATAAAATTATTATTATTAAATATTATTGGCGAAAAATAAAAATATTTTTTATTATTATTGAATATTGGAATGTGTATAATGTGAAAATGTGTATAATAAATAATAATAAGTAAAATACTTCAAATTTTTTTTAACGCCGAAGTGGTTTCACGTCGAAACAGCGACGGCGATTTGTCCTAGATCGATATTATTTATATCATTAAATATTCAAAACTTACATTAAATATTATTATTGTAGATCAAAATTAATAAAAATTTTTTTTTTTTATAAAACAAAATTAATGGGTACTTACTTCAGAACTCTCTGATGGTCTATTATAAGTGTTTTTAATTCATTTTTAAGACCCATATATTTTATATTTTCATTAGGTAACTTCATCTTGTCATCAATATTCACTACAAAAAACAACATAGTAAAAACATTTAAAAGTTGGGAAATTGATATCTAGTAGCCATGAAGAAAATTTTAAATCTATTTTCAGAATTCTTATAGCTTAACTAGATCATTTTATAAGTTGGGATGAAAACAATATGGTTAAATTCCTATATTCCACGTGTGTTGGACGAAGACAGAATATCACCGTTCCATAGAATTTTTTATTCTTTAATTATGCATCTTGCTTAATAATATTAACATTTAACATTTTAAACTTTACTCATCAATATCTACATATGTATATTGAGTATTGCATTATTATGGGCCATGGGTATATAATTATAAAAATGAATCCGAGATAAAAATGTCTTCTCTTGACCACCCCTGATGATATAATTAATAGGCATTTACCCACTCTAAATTTCTGTAATACATGCAAGTCAATACTGTAGGTAGGTACTTACTATTTGGGGAGTGAAGGCATTTATGTCCGACCGATTCGAACGCAGTGGAAATCATTTGCAACTGACCGGATAATGCGATGACCAACGTATATACAATAGTGTCGAAAATAAGTATAAATAACACAGCAATGGCAATGCCTGACGATTCGATGGTGTGAAATACATAAAAATATGTGTTGTAAGTTTCTTCCGAGATGAATAAATATAAAGAGAGAAGGCTCAGGCGATAGGAACTGGTAGATCCATCGTGATTTTTCATCGTTACAAACGTGTTACTAAATACCAGCGGAACCGTCACCAAAAAGAATAAGAATGTTAAAAAAAACATCATGTATATGTTCGTGTATTTAATTGAAAGATTTCGCCACTTGTTCAGTGTATGTATGCCCTGGACACCGTAAGACGTAAAGTCGAACTTCGTGGCCGAAAAGCAATCCCATATAACTTTTGAGTGGTAGAGAATGAGGTACATTTTGTAGCTTGCGTACATCGCGTTTCCCATGAAGCCAAAATAGAACATGGCCTCGATAATGTTGTTGGTGCAGTAATACAAACCGTTTAAGAACACAATTGCCGAAATGAGACATTCGTAAACAATGAGAAATACGAAAAATGTGTAGTTAACATTATGACGGCCTAGAAATGTTGCTGATTCGGTGTCCAAAATTTGATAGAAACCGAACATTTTGGCCAACACCAGGTTGAAAATTCTATCGCTATTGCCTCGAATATTCATAATTATCAATGTTTATGTAATAATATATCTTTTCGTCACCTGTAAAAAAGTATACCTATACTGGCTATACTGCATAAACTAAATTGAATACTCCTTGTAACTGCTAAACTACATATTATTATAGTATATACATTTAGTCAATGTTAACACAAACCTTTTCCGAAAATTGAGTTTATACGGTATTTATGATATTATGTTATAATTCTGCGAAATTGACTTGAATTTTTAACCACTGAATAGTTTGTGTATTTGAAATTGCATTGGTCGAAGTAAAACACCTAGATTCCACAATTTAATCAAAGTAAATAGTAATACTTACCTACCGAATACAATTTTTTTTAAATTTTCATGCAGTTGTGTATGTATTATTTAAATAATGATTTTCAAAAATTAAATTTCATTTTATTTTTAAAATTGTGTATTAACAATGGAAATCTTACAGGAGGTACTGCTGTTTCATGTTTACTCAACTGCATGTGTGTGACTGCTGTAAAGGACTGAGGTGGAGTAGTGAAACAATCTAACACATAACAAATTTATTAACTGTTGCAATTTAAAAAATGTATGAAAATTGGTTATGAATAATTTATGATTAATGTACTAATGCCTTTTTAATTATAGGTAAGGTCTACGATCAGGGTCGGACTGGCCCGGACCGCAGGTCCGCGATTGCGGACTGGGCCCCCAGCTAGTTTGGGCCCCCAAACTTCATGTTCATAAATATAAAATTAAATTAAAATAAGGTTACCATTTATAGTAACTGTATTTAAACATGTCTTAATATTTTGAAAATTAAGTTTCGTCTATGCACTCGGATGACCTACTCGTTAAATATATACCAATATAAATACGCCATACGGGACTGCTACGCAGGCCGGTGTCAACTAGTTATTCACAGTTTGCTCCGAGTCACGAGTTGTTCGTATCAACGCACCGGAGCTTAATAAAGGTGTATAAAATACTTAAATACGAGTAACTGTTGTAAGTGCCTTCAACGAGTGTATAAAGTGTATTTAAATTGTTGTTATTTTTATTTACCTTACGGTTTAAAATGAATACCAAATTGAAAAGTGGTGCGGAAAAAAGGCGCCTAAAAGAACAACAAATGTTACTCAAGGCCGGTTCTGACCCAAAACAAAAAAAAATTATCTTTTCAAAGGTAATCACGAATGATAATTCAAACGTTTCATTTTCAAATGAAAATAAAGTTACTAATGGTATCATTTCTTCTGAATCAATGGTAAATTTAATTCACTACTCAGGAGTCTAGTTATAATTTTGTTATAGCTAATATTGCATTTTTTGGTGCTACACGTTGGTGGAGCAAAGACAAAGCATTAAGCTCAATTATAAAATTTAATGAAACTGACATAAAAAATTCAAGATTTTTATTATTTTTAAATTTTTTGCTAGAAATAATTTCAAATCACTCTACATTTGATTCAAAAACAAAATTCACTGCTCGCACTCTATTACAAAATTGGTCTAAGTTTGATGTGATTATGACTGCAGCAATTTATCTGGACATATTTAGTATTAGCTCACCTATTTCTAAGTTTCTTCAATCTCCGTCGTTAAACTATCTAACTGCTTTTAATATGATTAACAACTTGCATAAAAAAATTAGATCTAGAAGAGATAATGCTGATAGTATATTCATTAATCTTTATTCTAAAGTTAAACACTTTATTACAGAAATAAATAAAGAGCTAGAGTTAAATAGTAGTAATTTCACTATAAAAAATGATTTTAATAAGGGAAAATCTGTAGGTAGAGTATCAAAAAAAAAATGTCTGGTGAAGAAGCAACAGATGAACGGCCAAATATTTCACCAACTGATAGGTTTAAAATTGAAACATTTAATTATATACATGATATTTGTGCAAACAGCTTGGATAAACGGTTTATAAGTAATACAAAATTACTAAGCGATTGCATTTGCCTGGATCCTAAACATTTTAATTCGATAAAAAATGAAGTACCTGCAAATGCGTTACTAGAACTTTCAATTCTAACAACTATTGATAGAAACACACTTGCATATGAATTACAACAATTTGCTTTACAGTTTAATTCTATTACTAAAACTTTTGAAGCTACTTTCACATATTATTTAACTGAAGACTCCCAATTTCCTATTTATGAACATGAACTAGATTTAGACGAAGATCAAGCATCCGTAATTGATCCATCCAATAATTGTAAAACATGCAATAACTGTTTACGTTGTGCTTTCAATGTGTTACATAATATAGTTCAACAGTGGTTGTTTTAACAATATATATTATGCATATAAATTTGTATTAACGTTGCCATGTACCCAAGTTACTTGTGAAAGAACCTTTTCCAAATTAAAAAATATCAAAACAAAACTAAGATCAACTATTTCCCAAGAAACAATGGAAGCATTGTTATTGATGAATATAGAAAGAAATGTTGAAATTGATAAAGAAAGTGTAATTGATTCTATTTGAAAGAGTTCTAATGAACTTTCAAAACTTTTGTTAAATTGAATTGTAATTTATTTAAGTTTTAAAATTATTTACATTTAAATGTTTATTATCATATAATTATGCACCTATATATTGTTTCATATTTGTTAAAGTCAAACAAATTGTTATAAATAAAAGTATGTGTATAAAATATTACACTTTTATCTAAAATGTTTATCATTATAATGTGTTTTTTTTTTTATTACATATAATTGTTATCTTATTTAAATACAAAAATGGAGAAGTAGAGAGCGGACTAACAATTTATAGTCCAACTTTAGTAAGGCAGTAAGGGCCCTTTCATCAGATCGCAGACTGGGCCTTTTGTTGCCAGTCCGACCCTGTCTACGATACCTTTCAAGAATTGTATAATATGCAGAAATGTGCGTGTATGGTGTTGTCAATGTCAACCGCACGTTTGCGTACACTATAATATTGTGATAGTGACTGGGTCACAGGGTTTGAATTCGGTCCATTACCTATTTATTTTTTTGAAAGTTATTTAAGGTTTTTAAACTTGTGAGGCAGTGGCTTTCGAGTTTGATAAGTAATTTGTGGCCCCATTCAAATTGTATTATACTTATAAAAATATATTATACATTATTATTTATTAATAATTATACAATTATTTTTCGTAAATATAAAGAAATCTAATTTCAATACTCTTTAGTCTTTTATAAGTAAGATATATTTTAATAAAGCACTACAGAATTTCCCCCCTCTATATTTTACCGCCCTAGACAGAGGAAATCTGCCTCTGGTGGTAAATATTGGTATAATAAAATAATATGTTTTTTTAAATTATTAACTTTTGAATTTTAATTGTTGATAGATATTTAAATAATATAGTTATACTAGCTGATCCTGCATGGCATTGCCCGTGACAAATTAAATTCCCACGGATTTACAAATTCTTAAACTTCACTGAATGTAAACTTCACATATATTTAATACAGTTCTTCGGGTTGTTTTGACCAAATTTAAAATTAAGGTCTAAAATTATATCCAATCATAATAACTATAATATTATTTTCAGTGACCAATGGCAACAATAAATTAATAAAATAATGACTGTTTTCCGTGAGTTAGTTATATTAATTATATTCAACATTTAAGTATTTAAAAGTGATAAGTAAGTAATAAAAAGTAGCCTATGACACTAAGGACATGCTGGATCTATTGACGAACATTTTATGAAAACTGGTCAAAAACTATGGATAGGGGTTATCCTTTCTGGGTTTTCGATTTTATAATATAGTACCTACCTAGATAATAATATATTATACTAGCCGACCCGTCAAAGCTTCAACCGTGATTAGTTGTTTATTTTGCCTCCGGATGATGATATTATGTATAATTTTTTATTCAAAATTTATCGTTTAATGTGATTGGCAAGTAAATATAAAAAATTATTAATGAAAACTTATTGAAATGTTTCTAGAGTTATTAGTGATAAATATATTTTTATTAAAAATAGCTGATCCTGTGAACTTCGTTGCCCGTTAAATGTATACCAACTCTATATGACTCAAACTTTGTTCAATTTTTTACTTTATATTCGATGTATGCCGCATTGCATTTATTGGAATCTAGCTTATTTAGATCTCAGAACTTTTATTTTATAGGTATACGTTTTAATATTATTAAAAATATATAGGTACGTACGTTTCGTAAAATACTTAAACATTTTAACATTTTAAGTCACTGATGGAAAAATTAATTTATTACGATAAAACGAAAAAATCTAGGAAGAATCTATAATCATCTAGGTACTGTATGGTGTTCAAAATTTATCTTAATTTTTCCATTGCCCAGAATAAAAATTGTGTTTAGCAGCAGTATATTATCAGGTAGGCCATCTAGTCAGGTGGATCAATATAATCAATTAATACAAAATATAACCGTACTAAAATACGATGAATAAAAAATAAAAAATGTTACCCTTTTTAAATTAACCTATCTTCTTCTCAGAGGTCTAATCTACACACAAACATACATTTATATATATTATATACCTATATATATACAGGGTGCGGCAGTCAAACCCGACGATTTAAAATGAACTGGTGGGCTTGGCTAGAGCGGTGGAGATTTTTGGAATGTTCTTATCGCTTTTAAATAATCGGAATTTAGTAATCATGGAGCATTAGTCGAGTGAACAGCGTGCGTTCGTGGTAAAAGCGTATTACAAAAGTAATGATATATGTAATAGTAATGTGTGGCTGACCAAGGAAGGCATTTGCCTGGCAAAATCTTTAAAAAATTTAGTTTTCAAATATATAACATAAAATTCCACTTGTGTTCTTTTTATTTGTTTGGCGAAAAATTAATAAACAATTGTTTTTCTATTTTTTTTTATTTTTTCAAATCGTCGGATTTGACTGCCGCACCCTGTATATATATTATATTTATGAAAAATAATATTACAAATCAACAAACATGCCCGATTAACCAATAGCAACCAATATATAATACACTATTATTATTTTAATTCGCAACAATAAACTA